TCCTGTCCTGTGGGAACCCTGTGTCTTGAAAAAGCCAACATTTCAGCTAATCTAAGGTTGCAACTTTTTAACTAATTAGTTCATTTTTATTGTTTTATTTAGCATTCAGAGGTAGGGGAAGTGATCTCAACCCATAAAGGAACACTTAATCCTTTAGTTTATTACAAACATTAGAAATCACCAGTTTTGGATATATGGGGTTTTTTTTCTGGCGGGAAAAGCTGTCAGCTGTACTGTCAGACAAATATAGCTGAGAAAAAGTATTGTAATTTGATCTGTGATATAGTGAAGTGAAGTACAGCACTGTGGCATGTGTGCTCCGTTACATTCCACCACTGGTCATTAGGATGCTTTCAGGACCACAAATATACATATGAAGGGAAAAAAAAAGTTATTGCAAGTAAAGTTTCCCACAAGTTGTCATTGTTTTTTTTTTTTGAGTGACTAATAGGCTGGCCATCGTTACGATCTTTAAGTCCCACCACCAGCAATAAAAGACATCATAAAAGAAAAGCTCTGGTGGCGTGACTTCTGGGGAGAACACGAGATGTTCTGCATGATGTTGAGCTGCAGAACCGTCAGGAAATAGTTTCTGTCAACTGTCAACAACATGTTGTACCATTACAGCCCAAACCCTAATCACACTTTGCACTCTGTGTACATGAGATTGTTTCAGGCAGAGACTCCCAGTCTGTCTCTCTAGATGTACGCTGTAAGGATTTTGTGATGTGGCCTCCCTCTTGATGTTTACATTCTCCAGACATAGGGGAGGACAACGAGAGAGAGAAGGAAAGAGAGACACAGCCAGAGAATTACTTACAGCTGCACCACTGAGACCGAAAAGTCCTCCAAGACTAAGAGCTTCTGGGCACGGACGCAACATATTATGGCTAACATTAGGGCTCCGAGTGCTTTTTACGAGGGGCGTTTGCATGGATTGTGTAAGGATGAGTGAGGGGCAGATAAAGGAGACTTACATAACACGTCAGAGGCCTTTACGTCGCTTTTTCCCAGCCGAGTCGAGCTAAACATTCCCAGGCATCGAATGTTTTTGGAAACAGCGAGTGTGGAGGGATTAAAGATGTATATGCTAGCGTCGGTATTGACAGCCCTAGAAACGGATTGTGTGCCACGAGCTAAGAAAAGAAAAACTCTCAGAAAGTCAGAGAACTTGGCACGGCTGAAAAGCCGAGGTCTCCTGGGGAGCCAGCCATCATCGTGCCGTTCTGTGAATAAGAAAAAAAAAAACACGCCCAGTGGAGCTGTAATGAGGTCACTTATCAGCCAGGGCATTTGGAGGGGTGTGCCACGCTTCCTCTCAGCATCCCTCCATCTGTCAGAGAGAGGACAAATGACCTCAGCCACTGCTGCCAATAATGTCATGTGGCGTCAGACTCTATGACAGGCTTCAAGCTGACTGAGGGAGCAGCAGGCCAAACTTCCTGATGCACAGCTTTTCTGGAAGAACGGACCAGGTCAGACATCTTGTGCGACTCCACCGCTACAACTTTTTCCTTAATAGTTTGACAAAGCTAACGAGGCAGCTGCCAAGAGACGCTCACAACAACAACAACAACTCCAAGGATGCCCTCTGAACACTGTGCAGGCAGTCTAATGTGACTACACGTTGAGAAAATATGTCAGTGAAGCGATTTAACTAACAACAGCTGCAACTGACAACAATCTTAGTGGGAGACGGGATGGTGTGTGTGTGTGTGTGTGTGTGTGTGTGTGTGTGTAGGGGGTAAACAAGAAAGAGAAATTACTTCAGAGCAACCACAACAGTGCAACAGAGTTCATGAGAAGAATTTGTAAATCACACGGGGTAATTACTTCACACATAATAGGGGTTAAACTGCGGTGGGAAAACACAACACTGGCATTTTTTTCCTTCCAAACCACATGAAAAGGATTCCAGTATCTCAGAGTTAAGAGCTCCTGATCAAGAAAGCCTCTTTGAATCGCATCCAGAAAATGGGTCCAGCTGAAAATGTGAAAAAAAAAAAACACATAACTGTGCCATTTATTGGTCTGGTGAACTCTAAAAATATACCCCGCGTACTGCCTCTATCACTTTCAATTACAGCTGATGGTATCTTTGAGAAAATCTTGCACCACTGATGGTTTAATGGAGTGGCTCAGGACTGGTTCACAAAGACAAACATTATGACACGTTCTTGGCACTCAATGTTGACATTTGTGGAAGAGGACAAGCAACACTCGTAGAATTAAATGCGCTTTGGTAGCAAAGAAGACTTTACACCTTCGAATGACCACTTAGATCAAAACATGT